CGAGTTCCCGCGTTTTCAAACCTCGACTCTGTATTTAGTTTTCTGTTTGCTTGAGGGCAAGCAAAAACTAAGTCTGGGGGAGTTGATATATCATGGTTTTTATGGGGTTTTGACCATGATATAAGTCATGTTTATAGAGTCTTTTTGGTATTTTTTGAGTTTTTTTGAGTCTTTACAGGTTTGGATATGTTTGGAGCTTATTTGGAGATATTGGAGCATTCTGGAGCAAAACAGAAGATGTTGCTGAAGAAATCAAGTCGTGCAAAAATTGTACACTCTCGAGCAGAAATTGTGCAGTGAGCGTGCAAATCCCGTGTCGATCGACACTAGGGTCTTGGTGTCAATCGACACCAAAAGTGCACAAATCTTGCCTGAGTTTTTAAAGATTTCTGAAGACTTACAAGTTCGCCCAGAAGTTTTATATATTTGAAGTTTCGCCCCAAATCGTGTTTTAGGTCTATAAAAGGATTTTTATGGTCATCTTTTAGACCTAAGCTTTATTTTACAAAGAGATTAAGAGAGAGATTTTTAGAGAGTTTTTGGAGAGATAAATCATTCTCCTTTATAGAGGATTTTGAAGTCCTTTATTTCTTCTATTGATTTCTTTTATGCTTTCTATTCAAATTATGATTTGTGTTTCATTGATCATGTCTGAGTAGTTTGCTTGTTAGGTTTAGAGTTTTAAAAAGGTGATGATGAATTGCTAGGTTGAATTGAATTGTTAGGATAAAATCATTAGAGTTCTTCATCTTGATTTGTGTTTATTGCTTATTCTAGCTTCGCGACCTAGAATCTGATCTTAGGTTGATTAATAGATGCGAAAGTATTGTTAATCACTAGAACTAATCTTAAATGAGCCAAATTCCTATCTGCAAAGGAATTTGGTTTAGGATTTTGTGAACAATTGAATCTGATTTTAATGCTTGTTTGAATTGATAGGATTTGCAAAGGAATTTGGGATTCTAGGATTTAGACGTAGATAATCTCTGCAGCGGAAATTGATTGATTTTATATTAGTGTTTCAAGTTCAAGAACAGTGCTTAATAAACCCCTAACAGTTTGTCTAGATTTGCAATTCAGATTCACCTGCGAATTTCCCAAGGCCTAGCGTTTCTCTCTTTGATTTAAAACCTCTCAATCGATTTGCTGCTTTCTTCTTATTACTTGCATTACATCCATTTAGTTTTCCTTAGCTTGATTTGAACCTGAAATTTATTGTGCAACAATCTAAGTCTTTGTGGATTCGACCCCTAAGTACTACAGTGATCTCTTAATTTGAGAAAGTAGCTCTAAGGGATAATTTGAGCATATCAGTTCTCACATCTATCAAACAACTTAGGGTTCCAAAAACTAGATGATTAGTCTAAAAATTCAATATGAATGCAAGCACAAATGAAGAACCAATGGATTTTTCTAACAGTTTGGCAATTTTACAAACTTTTCATCAACCTTTAAATCATCCTAACCTAACTAACAGATTACTCAGACATGATTATGAATGAACAAAGCATAGCTGAATAATACTGCATTAAAAGATAAAGTGTGGAGATACAAATGGTTCGAATTCTTCTCAGACTTATCTCCCTCAAAGCTCTGAATAATATCTCTCTCAAAAGCTTTCTGAATTCTTTGATACCAGATAAAAACCAAAAGAATGGCTGAAAAACCTAATATACAAGCTAAAACATAAGTTGAGGTCTTTTTGTAAATAGTGGAACTCTTAGACCATAAGTGCAAATTTCTCTCCATCTTTTAAACGAAACTCACGATCCTTCTCAGATGAGGGTGACGAGCATCACCCTTGAGTGGTGACGATCGTCACCAATGCGCGACATCGCCTTCTAAGTTGCTAACTTCGGGAAGGATTCTTGCTTTGATCCAAAAAGCTCCAAAATCTCAAAATGTGTAAAAGATTCATTTGCATTTGCTTGTAATTTAACTTAGATATTTTTCTTACATTATATATATATATTGGTGAAATTTTATAATTAAATTAATAATATATATTATATTATTTTCAAAGGAGTTTCTTAACAAAACAAGAAAACATATTATTTTTCCTTACATGTTGAGTTTGTAAAAAAAATTCGTTTTTTTGTTGATGTACATGGTTAGAGAACTGTTTATGATATTTTCTTTTATATAAACTTATATATACTATTTTTAAATATGGAAGTGTAATATATTAATGTTTAATATAAAGTTATGCAAGTATATTTTTACATATCCATGACTATAATGATGATTCATAGTATACCATAATTAATTTAATTTATGCTTAAAAGTATTTAGCCAAAAATATAGAAATAGTATGTACATAATCATACATATTTCATGTTTTTAATTATTGTGTGAACGAACTTAATACCTCATAATATTATATTTTGACGATTTTTAGTTTAAATATGTGATTATTATTAATTTGGGGTGTAAGAATTTAAAATATTATATATGTAATATATTTTTATTTTTATTAAAATCAAGTTATAATATGTCATATGTTTTGTTACCATAATACATACAATTTAATCAATATTCAAATATTATTATTATTGTTAATTAAATATTTAATTTTAAGCATGTTAATAATATATTAAAAATTATTTTTATAAAAGGTTTGCTGATGTGGCATTATTATAGTGATTTGTTTTTTGCTGATGTGGATGGCTTTAGGAGTCCCAAACTCATCTTTTCATTTAGTATAGATTCAATTAATTATTAATAATTATTCTCTCTGTTTCAAAATAAATGTCACTTTGACACTTTTCCCACAAATTAAGAAAATCATTAAAAGTTCTGTTTTACCCTTTGTTCACACACAAAATAACATTTTATTTCTAAATAAAACAAGAAAATTCAAAGGTTAAAAATAAATATTTATTCAAAATTATACATTGAAAATATAAAGTGACACTCTTTCTGAAACAGAAATAAAACTTTGAATTGAAACTTATTTTGAAATGGAGGAAGTACTAAATTACTAATTTTATTGCCAAACATCATTACTAATATTAATATATATCATTTACCCACTAATTCTATTTTTCTATTTTTGTTTCCTAAGAAAACATATATTAAAAACGGATTCTCACAATTTATTGAAAATAACTTATACTTACAAAGAAAAACTGTCAAATAAATTATAGTCGAAGAAATTTGTAAAATAATATTTCAATGAAAAAATAAAGAACTCTCACATAATCAACAACATAGAAAAATTATAAATAGATTTCTATTACAATTATGTATTAACATTATTATTAACTCGAAAATAAAATAATTAGCAAAAATTATATTTCAAAAATATACAATACCAATTTTGAAAATAAATATTACAAATATACTAAAACATTATATATATATATATAATTAAACTAAATGAAATTAATATTTTACTTCCATGCATTGAAATATGTATATAAACATCATATATAGCATGTGACTAAAATATTCTGCATTTTAATTTTATTCAAGATATTAACATTAAAATATACCAATGCGTTGATTTTTTTTTTTAAATCATTTCAGTTTTAGCAAAGGTTTTGGTTTTAGCATAGCATAGAATTTGATAATCTTTAAAATTTTGGAATTTGAAACATGAAAAAATTTTGGAACTGGTAAGAAATTTGCAAAAGAAAAAAAAAATTCTAGAAGAATATGACAGAAAATTTGGATAACGAGACAGGTTAGGGAAATTCTCTTAATATGATTTTTTTCCTAAATTTTTAATAATTTGGATTAATGGTAACTTTAGAACCTATAGTTCGGATGATTTAGAAAAAGTTTAGAAAATTTGGGAAAATTTGGATAATTCAAAAAAAAAACTAAAACAAATATATAGATTTTTAAAAAAATTTTAAATGGATAATCCGGATACCTAATCTCATAGTTATTCTCATTCCCTTTCGTATCTTTTACCTACTCATTTAAATAAAACAAATCATTATAAAATTATTCTGGAATAGAGAATATGGGACGAATACATGATAAAATGGAAAACCTGTCCCAAATTTTTCAGCACTCGATTTTTATTTTATTGTAGTTTTAATTTTTATTATATTACTAATCAAAAGTTTACAAATATATTTTAATACACTGAAATATTATGGATATACATAAATTTAATTTAAAAAAAAAATTTCAGTTTCGTGCTATATATATAGCACGGATTAACCTAATATAAGCTTGAAAGTTGAAACAAGTCTGTGGGTAGACATGCCATTATGCCATAATCAATTTAATTACACAGATCTGTTTTTCCTTTTTTTATATATTCAACTAGGTTAGGACTCATATATACACACAGATTTGAAAAATATTTTAAAACTTGTAAATAATAAATAGAAAATAAAATAAATAGCTTTAATTATATTTATTTTTTTATTCATATTCGACTTTTTATTAGTAAAAATATGTTATTATACATGATAAATTTTGATTAATTGACTCACATACATTTTAGTTATTTGAACTTAGACTGTGATCCCTATATACAGTGATTTATATATTAACTATTACACAATCCGTTAAAAAGAAATTAAATAAAAAAATAAAAAATAAAATTAGATCATTATGAACATTAAAAATTAAGATTGAGAACCTTTTCGCAAAACTACTTATAATAGAACTAATAGAAGAAACTGACTTTCTCTTTTGTTCCATGTTTACTTTTATATTTTCTCACAAATATGACTAATATGAAAAAGTAAAAAACCAAATTATATCATTGTAAACATTAAAAAAGTAAGATTGAGAACATTTTTCTAAATTACTTAAAATTTGGAGCCAAATATAGTTTCACAAATATACCTATACTAAAGTATTATTTGTTTTTCAATTTTCCCTTATTTATTCTTTTATTTTGAACAATATATATTTTCATATGGTTCTCTTAATTCTACATAGATTCCTTTCAGATATCCGGATCATTTTTATGCACACATATTTTTCCAATTTATTTCCTTTTAAGAAAAGGTTAAGAAAATAAACCATATATCTCATAAGAAAATAAGAGTCACAAGTGTAAAAAAAAAAACATAAAATAAATAAAAAGTTGCCGTGGAAGATCAAACGCCACCAAATAAGCAACGAGTGTGGATAAACGTGTTCTCCACCCGCCAATCAAATTTCATCAAAATCTCAAATCTCTCAAATCTCTCGATTTCCACTTTTGACACATCTCTTTAAGATTTCCATCCAATCAAAATCCCCAATTTCGACCCAAACCGGTTTGACCCGACCCACAATCACATTTCCTTCGAAACGGAGAAATTTTTTGATTATTCAATCCCTGAATCATATTCACAAACGATCTCCTTTCTTCCACATCGCACCCATCCTTCTCTGTCTCTGCTCTATTCCTGATCTGGGTTTTGTAGACGAAGAGGGGGAAAAGCGAGATTGAGATTTGTTTTCATGGCGGTTTCGAGTGCCTTCGTTGGTTGCCCAAAGCTCGAAACTTTATTGAATCACCACAATCTGTCTTCTTCTTCTTCTTCGTCTTCTACTTCGCAGACTCCATTGGGTCTCAGTGGTGTTCGTGCTCTTCCCAAGAACAATAGGAACAGGCGAATTCTGATCCAGAGAGCTCGTTGCGAGCTTTCTTCGTCTGATTCTCCTTCTAATATCTCTGCTCTCGAACAACTCAAGAACTCTGCACCTGATAGTATGAATTTCTATCCCTTCTCACTTTTCTGGGCTTGCTCCGATTCCGATTTTAGTTTCTCCAATGACTATTTGTTAGCTAAAGTTTGAATCTTTTGTGGGTCAATTTCAGTTTTATGAAGTTATGTTTGTGTTTTGATCTGAAAGCATTCCTTTTTTAACGATGTGAATGACATTGTAACTATAGGGAAGCAAGTTTTGTCATTAGTTTGTTGTTCCAACTCTGTTTTGTGGTTTATTAGGATATACGAAGGAAAGAAGCAGCATTGTGGTGATTGGACTTAGCATTCATACAGCTCCAGTTGAAATGCGTGAGAAGCTTGCTATTCCAGAAGCTGAGTGGCCACGAGCCATCGGCGAATTGTGCGGTTTGAATCATATTGAAGAAGCTGCTGTACTCAGTACTTGTAACCGTATGGAGATATATGTTTTAGCTCTGTCTCAGCACCGTGGAGTTAAAGAAGTAACCGAATGGATGTCAAAGGTTCCTCTTTTTTCCCTTAAGCTTTGTTCTTCTTGTTGTACGTGTGTGATTGATGTTTTAGAAGACGTTAGAGTGGTCTTTGTTTAGCTTAAAACCAACGGAAACTGAATTTGTATGTTTGCGTATTAAGCAAACCTCTGTTTTGTTCAAATTGTTTATTTGCGATAACTATAAATGTTTATCTTGGCTGTGTTACTGATTACAATCAGTAGCAAGTGTTAAACAGATCTTATTTTTTTTTGTTCAGACGAGTGGGATTCCTGTTTCGGAGATCTGTCAGCACCGTTTTCTTCTCTACAACAAGGACGCTACGCAGCATATCTTTGAAGTCTCGGCTGGTCTCGACTCTCTTGTCCTAGGAGAAGGTCAGATCCTTGCACAGGTGAAACAAGTCGTGAAAGTTGGTCAAGGAGTGAATGGATTCGGGAGGAACATCAGCGGGCTGTTCAAACACGCGATAACCGTTGGGAAACGTGTCAGAACAGAGACAAACATCGCTGCAGGGGCGGTTTCGGTTAGCTCAGCTGCTGTCGAGCTTGCCCTGATGAAGCTACCTGACTCTTCACACGCATCCGCGAGGATGTTGATCATCGGTGCAGGGAAGATGGGGAAGCTTGTGATAAAGCATTTGGTAGCTAAAGGTTGCACAAAGATGGTGGTGGTCAACAGAAGCGAAGAGAGAGTTATAGCTATCCGCGAGGAGATCCCTGGTGTCGAGATTGTATACAGGCCTCTCGATGAGATGCTAGCTTCTGCTGCTGAAGCTGATGTTGTTTTCACAAGCACAGCCTCTGAGACTCCATTGTTCTTGAAGGAGCATGTAGAGAATCTCCCTCCAGCTTGTCCAGAGATTGGAGGAGTGAGGCTTTTCGTCGACATCTCTGTTCCAAGAAACGTCGGTTCATGTGTCAATGAGGTCGAAACCGCAAGGGTTTACAATGTGGACGACCTCAAGGAAGTTGTTGCTGCCAATAAAGAAGATAGGTTGAGGAAAGCGATGGAAGCTCAGACGATAATAGCAGAGGAATCAAACCAGTTTGAAGCATGGAGGGATTCGCTTGAGACGGTTCCTACGATCAAGAAGTTGAGAGCTTATGCAGAGAGAATCAGAGTGGCTGAGCTAGAGAAGTGTTTGTCCAAAATGGGAGATGACATCAACAAGAAAACTACAAGAGCCGTTGATGACTTAAGCAGAGGTATTGTGAACAGATTCTTGCACGGTCCAATGCAGCATTTGAGGTGTGATGGGAGTGACAGTAGAACGCTGAGTGAAACTCTTGAGAATATGCATGCTTTGAACAGAATGTATGGTCTTGAGAAGGATATTTTGGAAGAGAAGCTTAAGGCGATGACGGGACAACAAAAGTAAAAGATAAGAAGAAGAAGGTGTTCATCTCTTTTGACAGATAAGATTACATCGAACTAGCTTCCATAAACCCGAGTAAATTGCATAGATCCTTAAGCTGAGTGATCTATATATGATTCGTTTAATTTGTGTGCAACAGACTTTTTCTTTGGCTAACATTTCTATGTGAGCTTTGTTGCATACTTTTTGCATCATAGACTCAGAGTGTAACGGTATTTATCCAAGTACCGTTACACTTTTGTAATGTATAAACTTTGGTTCGTGCGGTATAGAGAAATGCTTTATTTTCTTTAAATAGAGTATTTATCTCTCTGTCTTTAGTTAAATAGATGAAAGCTAAAAAAATCACATATGAAGAATTGGAGATTGATAATGGTAAACTGCAGGCTACATATGACATGTGTTCATGTTATTCAATGTTTGGTTCACTCGATTTAATCTCTTATAAATAAGAGACTAAAAGAAAATTAAAGTTGGATGTGACAAAGTTAGTAATTCACAAGATCGTGACACAAGACAAGTTAATCGATTAGATTTTGACATGTGTCACGATAAAATTAAAATAAATATAAATTTAGGAAATATTACTATTGTTAAAAAAATAAAAAAAATAAAATACAACCATTACAATATCTAAAAAATATATATTTCAATTAAGAAAAGAAACTTAAAAAAAAAAACTAATCCTAAAAGAAAAAAGAAAATATTACTCACATCTTTATAAACATATAAAATCTCTTATAATTTTATTAGGCTAATTTTTCTCTTAGACTCTAGTCAAACGAATAAGATAAGAAACTGATGAATCGATGAAAAACAATCAGAATTATAGAAGCATAAAAAGGGAGAAAGCCAATTTTTCTTTGAAATATGTAACAAATTTTATATGTTAGTAATTCACATGATCATGACACTTATCAAATTTTATGATAAAGATTTTGATACGTGTCATGACTAAATTAAAAATAAAACATAAATTTAGGAAATATCAGAATTTTTAAAAAATAAAAATAAAATATAACTACTATAATATCTAAAATTGAATATATTAAAAACATATGTATTTCAACTAAAAAAGAAAAAACAGTTTAAAAAAAAAGTAAAGACAAATCATAAAAGAAAAAAGAAATTACTACTCACATCTTTATAAATACATAAAAATATTTATAATTTTTCTAGGCTGATTCTTCTCTTGAACTTGAACCAATTGGATAAATGAAAAATTAATAAAGCGATGAAAAAATAATTAGTATTGTGGAAGCAAAATGAAGAAGAAAGCCCAATTTTTCTCTGATATCATTTTACCAAATGATATTCTCCATGAGAATTTGTTAGAGAAAAATTATATTTGTGAAAAATATAAAAGTAAATACATAATGAAAGAGAAAGCCATTTTTTTAATAAGTGGTTTTGCGAAAATGTTCTAAATCTTATATTTTTATGTTCACAATGATCCAATTTTGTTTTACACTTTTTCATGTTCATTCATATTTGTGAAAAATATAAAAGTAAACATAGAATGAAAGAAAAAGTTAATTTTTTTAATCAGTTTTATTATAAGTGGAATTAATTTGTAATTTTAATTTATTCTTAATAATTAAGAATTAAAAATTGATTTAATCTATATTAAAAATAATTTTGTTTTGTGTTATTGTTGGGATTAGTTTTGCTATAGCCAATAACTACGCAACATATTACCAGGTAGTATTTTATTAATAGTACACACTTACTCTTTATGTTATAGAAGAGGCGTGATGGAAACAATGGCTGAAATGCCATTATTTCTCAAAATTCAATCTCATATGCCATCGTTATGTTTTTAATTTCTTTTTAATTTTTTTTTAAATCAAAATGCATGAAATACCTTTAAAACCCTTAACAAATTAGAGAAATTACATGTCCAACCTAAAATTATCTACCCAAACCCACTAACCCGATTAAATGCAGTGGATCATAAATTTTTACTTTTTTTCATTCTTTTTCATCGAGAGAGCATCTTTCTTCTTTATCTGAGTAAAATAGAGAATTTTTCATTAATCCCAAAAGAGATGTTGTTGATTTGGATTTGAAATTTGTCTTTAATTCAAGTTGTTCTAATAAAAAAGGATGTTCAATTTGGTTTTCATGAAATCTGATGAAAAGGTAAAAACTGTGTTTTGTCTATATGATCCAAGATTTGAATTTGTTTCTACAAAAATGGTGATTCCAAATCGAGATTGGGTGTTACAGCTGCTGATGGTGTCTCTTTTCACTGAAGTTTGGGGTTTATAGATTGTTGGTCTGAGATCACTAGTTTATAAATTGCTGGCCTGAAATCACGGAAATTAGAACATCAAGGATAGTTGGTTTCCAATCAGGTCACATAGTAATGATTCAGCTGGTATTCTCTTGTCTCTTTGCTTTTTCTCTCTTAACAATGAAAGAAAATTAGGGTCATTCGATGACTGTGAGCTTTTCTGCAGATTTTTTGTCAAAAGAGAAAGAGAGAGATAAAGGGAGATCTTTTGGATGTGAGATCTACTTGCGAGGCTAGTTAAAAGAGGCTAGATGTTGAATGCATTGATCTTATTATCAGCATTGAATCACTACTCGTGCTCCTATCAAAATTATAGTGAGTTTTCTTTCTCAATCCCACTTCATCCTATTGTTTTTTAATTTTCAATAGATTAGAGTTCCATGAGCATCACTTCTTTGGCTTTGGATTTGTTCTAACTAATAGAATCAAAGAATGATAGAAAGGAGACTTTAGACAATGTTTTACACTTGTGTCACTCTTTCTGAAATTGCTGGCTTATTCATTAAGAACCAATGTCTAGTGAAATAATCTTTAACTGACAGAATTTACGGCTTTCTCATCCATCCTCATCTACCATTTAGGCTTGCTTCTAAGCTCTAATTGGTGGTCTACTAGAGAAAATTGAGATATAATCATGTAAATAATTGAGTTTATGTGAAATTTTAGTGTCTCTTGACATGTATATGATTACATGCCCGTATTATTCATCTTGCAACTAATATGCAAAGCTTTGATTTGCTAAATTTTGTTTGCTAAATAATTGCAATGTAATTGCTAGAATCACATTCAACAAGTTTCTGTGTAGAGGCAACTAATGGTAACATGTACTGTGTACTTTGGCTGAGATTTTTGTTTGCTAAACTAGGAAGCTCATAATCCTTCACTCACTCTGTTTATCTAAAAATTTATCATTTCTTTTGAAAAAGAAACATGTGCCTAGGTTTAGGTTTATTAACGATATATTTCTATAGTTTACCTATATACATTCTGTTTGTTTCAGAGGTCAGACGAGGCTAAGATATGTGGGAAACTTTCTTCGGCAGGTTACCAAACGAATCCGGGAAATATTTGTGTAATGATGCGGTTTTTTTTAGTTTTTGATTTTATGTATTTGTACAACTTATGTATATTAAGACAACTGTAATATTTAGGTACAACTATGTATTTATTAAGTAAAATTAGAGGAACAACTGAGATCATTTTGGTATAATTATGTGTTTATTAGGTACAACCAGTTCTATTATTGGTTCAACTGAGTTTTATTAAGTTCAATTGGATTTTATTAAGTACAGCGGATGACACAAGTAACGAGGTACAACTGAAATACATGGTTTGACTGAGTGAATTTTATGGTTTAACAGGGTTTTATTAAGTTTAACTAGATTTTATTAAGTACAACGAATGACACAAGTAAGGAGGTACAACTGAAATACATGGTTCGACTGAGTGAGTTTTATGGTTCAACTGGGTTTTATTAAGTTTCACTGGATTTTATTAAGTACAACGAATGACACAAATAAGGAGGTACAACTGAAAGACATGGTTCGACTGAGTGAGTTTTACGGTTCAACTAGGTTTTATTAAGTACAACGAATGACAAATTATGGCTTTTCATAATTGTTTAGTTTTTTTTAATAAATATTAAAGCATCGTCTCTCTCCTCTCCTCTCTGGGAATCATCTCTCTCGTCTCCTCTCTCAGAATCGTTTCTCTCCTCTCCTCTCTCAGAATCGTCTCTTCTCTCTCAATATCTCTCTCAGAATCCTCTCTCTCTCTCTCTCTCTATCTCTCTCTCTCTCTCTCTCTCTCTCTCTCTCTCTCTCTCTCTCTCTCTCTCTCTCTCTCTCTCTCTCTCTCTCTCTCTCTCTCTCTCTCTCTCTCTCTCGAAGTCGACGAAACAATAAAATAAAATTAGGGTTTTGAAACATTTGGGAAAATGGACATTTTGAAAATAAAATTAAAATATTATATATTCTTCCTGCTGGGCGGAAAACTGAAAATTTATTAAATTTTCCAAAATAAATTGAACTTAGTTGTCTCCAAGCAAGCAGTTGAACCAAATTCCTAATAGTTGTTCTTTTGCAATTTTATTGTATTTCTAGTTGAACCTTCTCCTAAACTATTATGGTGTAGTTGTACAAATAATTTTGGACCATTAAATATCATTTACAACGTTTTCATTGTACAATGTATGAAGAATTTAACATTCTGATTTTTTTTCCCCTAAAAGGCTTAACAATATTGATATCTTCCTTATATTGTAAGGGGTGGTTGATGTGAAAACATGATTTTATATCAAAATAAAAAATTAATGTTCTCTATATTAGTAATTGTTTCCTTATAGTTGAAAATGTGTTTATAGGTCTTAATTTGTTGATTCACATCACTTGTAGCTTTAATAATTGTTTAGTTCACTTCTAAAGTTGATTTAGTTGTACCCAGTTGCACCCAATTGCACCTGCTGGTGCAATTTCAAGAAAGACACAAAATTATTAATAATTGTACCCAATTGCTTCGGGTGGTGCGATTTCGAGAAAGACAAACACATAAACGTTAATAGTTGTACCCAATTGAACTTAGAAGTGCGAATCAAAGAATGACAAACACATAATCGTTAATAGTTGTACCCCCGTTGAACCTGGAAGTGCGAATTTGAGGAAGACAAACATGTAACTGTTCATACGTGTACCCAGTTGTACTTGGTAGTGCAAATCAGAGAATGACAAACACATAAATATTAATAGTTGTACTCAGTTGAACCTAGAAGTGCGAATTCGACAAAATGAAACTCAGAATTGTTCATACTTGTACCTAGTTAAACCTAGTCATACAACTTCGCCAAACTGAAACACATATAGATTCATAGATGTACATAGTCTAACATGATTGTACAAAACCGAGAATTACAAAACACACACACACAAATTAAACTGCGCTGCAAAACATATGCTATTAATCGTGGGGTGCTTTTCCTTCTATGAGAGCATATATGCATCTTTTTGTATACTCTTAACACTGAAATCATCCGATTTCTTAAACCTTGCAGCTTGCAAATATCATTTACAGCCTTGACTCTTCTGACGGAATTCTAAAATAAGTCACTTTATATCTGACTTATAAGTATGGACCCCAAAACAGTTTTTATGTGCAGCTCTGTCAACCATATCTTCCTGCGTATCTT